GTCCAAGGTTAACCCTTGCACCCACATGATGAATACCCAACACTAAGTTAATCCAAATACATATGTATCTTCTCATTGCAAATTAATGTAGTGTCACTTGGGCTTCGTACATCAATGTCTGTGTGCTTGGTTGCTTGGTTGCAAGAGTCAGTTGCTCAAACCTGGACAGCTGTCTTTTAGTGACACTGTTGGATTTAGGCCCCAGCAAAGTTGTGGATGAGACTTGGAGTCATGGTGATCATAGTTGGTGTTACCTCCTTGAGACTTCCTGTCTGGGCACCTCTAGGCGTCCCATCTAGCTTGACCCAGGCCTCCCTACCCCCTCTCTATTGCATCCTGTGTTTTGCAGACTTCTGACATGAGGGCCTTGTTGCTGAGGTGAGGACTAAGAGGCATAGACTTGATACACACGGCTGGCCAGCATCCTTTCTCCAGAGTCATCTGGAAGGCCTATCTCAGCCAGCTATACAGGGAGCAAAAACTACTTGAGTCCCTGCACGTGTGGCAGTGGGCAGTGCCAGCTCAGTAGCCTCTGGCAGACACGTTTACTTTTTTCATCACCCCACCTTGCTCCTGTCCAGGGAACAGTTTTTCTCAGTCCCAGGACATGAGGAGGGGAAGAACTGTGCCAACTGGTATTCCTGATGCCGGTTAAGCCACTGCAGCTTCCCTATGTCTCCTGTGAATGTCTTACTCATGCTTGGTGGGCCACTGCCCCTCACACATTCTCACTTTCCCTAGTGTCCCATGGACCCTGGAAGCCCTCTCCAAGCCCAAGTGGCCTCAAACTCTCACATACAATCATAATACATAAGGGGTAACAATCCAGGCACCGATCTATTGACCAAGGGCAATGGAAGAATGGCTTCTGTTTTAAACCTAGTGGGGAAAAGATTCACAAAGTCCCAAGGTTGTAGGAAAGAATATCTGCCAAGATTAAAATCCACATAGACAGGTATGCATCCAGCAGTGCCATCTGGTTACAGTTCCAACCTGCCTCAATGTCATCCATGGGAATAATCTATCCTCATTCAAATTTCACCAGGGATGTCCTGACAAGTAGCTCAAGGGACTCCCTGGAACCTTGATCTAAGACAGTGGGACAAAGGAAGCTGCAGGTATCTGGCAGAGTCAGGGCAGTGAGAAGAGGCTGAGAGTGCTGATGAAAGAATGACAACAGGGCTTTGGGGACTCCTAGAGCCTTGGGAGGGAAAGCCCCAGAAGTACGTGTTAGAGGCAAGCATTGTCATTGGTCTTGGGAAAGATTACTGTTTAAATATGGCCCATATGCTCCTCTCATTCTATTGGGCAAGCAGAGTTATAAAGCAAATGATGTCTTTTTAAAAAAGTGTTTTCCATTAGAGGCACCGACCTGAAAAAAACGTTGAGCAGTCTCTTGCAGTTGAACGTCCTTGCAACATTTCACAAAGACAGAAAGCACTCTTTTCTCTTACACTCATTGGCTCTTCCATAGATGTAGTCATTTTGTGGAAGAGTTAGATCTGAATAAAGAAGAAAAAGGAATCTAGTGTGAGTATGCATCCTAATAGAAGATAGTTAGTTTTCAAAGTAGAGTTGAACATAATAACATAGATGGAGTAAAACTTAGTTTTTTCCACAACAGATTTTTAGCACATAATTTACATATCATATGAGATAGTTTATTGTGCCTGCCTAGCCGATAAACACATGTGGGATTAATTCAAGGGTGAAGAGATAAATGGCTCGGCGAGCCTCGCCTTTCTTGTCTCTCGCTCTTTGATCATCGGACCAGTGTGCGGCTGCCTTGCTTGCTCTGTGCCTCAATTTGCA